CACAAGCAAGATGAAAGTCGCAGCCACCTGGATGTTGGTACCATTCCTTTATTTATGTGTCGGTCGAAGAAGTGATCGTCAATCGGTAAATTAGGTATCTTATAGTTCTTGTTTCATTTCTGCTAAATTTTTTCCAAAACCCACTTTAATCGTTTCATGATTTATTGTAATAATTACTTTCTCTTTTGTTAATTTTTTTAACCTGTTTACTTCTTTTGTCACCTATTTGTTGAGGCGTGTTCGACCTTTTAATGTACAACGCTTCAAAACCAACCGTTTTAAGAATAGTTTTATTATTTCCTGATGTCATAAAGCGAACTCATCTTAGCTTTCCCTTTTTTTAGCCGATTGAAGGCCTTTTAATAACAAAGTAGTTAATATCTAGAGTTTTATAGAAATTGGTTGCCTCTGACTGTTGCTATTTTTGAAACAGACGTTTCGGCTAATGCTTAAGACTTCATCAGTGATATGAAAAACGAAGATCGTTATCATACGTTATTTAAAGTTAAAACGTGATGCGAAGCTTGCGCGCGTAACTATGTATTTACTTAATATCTAAATTAGTTTAATTTTACTATCTGTATTATGTGAGTAATTACGCAATTCAGTTTCTTTTTAACTACTACGTATTATGAATCAATAAACTTCAAACTTCAAACTTCAAACTTCGAATGTTTGTTTTTTGTTTCCACTCTGAGGTTGGGACAAGCGTTTCTTTCGCTCCAATAAGCTGGTTAAGGGCTGCTCGTTCACATACTTTGGAAAATGCAGGTATGCAGGTAATAGGGGCGATTATTGTTTGGTACTCATGATCCCCCTCCTTCAGCAGTGGAATGACAACTGTTCATTTCCGTGGCGGATCCAGGGGGAGGGTCCGGGGAGTCAGGACCTCCCCTAACAGACCTGACGCTTACAACTTTGAAACTGAAATTCTTACATCGACAGTATCGTATATCACTTTTTGACTGGCTGATCTTTTTAATGAATCTAAGTAAACGGCACTGAAGCGGCCAAGGAATTATAACGTGCAACCGTGACTGGTGGGTGGGGGGTGTGGGGGTG